ATGATGCAACTTCCTTGCCGAGCTTGCCAGGGCTAATGCCAACTTCTCCAGTAGTAAGTATCTTGTCGCGGCATTTAGGAACATCTTGCTAACATAATATACGGGGCTAAGAGTTGAATGATTACTCCTCATCAGAGCTCCACTAACCTCGTGCTTTGACATGGCTAAGTAAAGCAGCTAACATTCCTGGGGCAAAGGTATTGTTAGAATGGGCGGGGATGCAAGGTTTTAATTTAATAAAGGCCTCTTCACATTCTTGAATCTAGGCCGTGCCTTCTTTTTCCTTAATGGATTAGAGGAATTACTTGCACTTATCCGAGGCTCGGGATATAAATCTGCCCAGCGCGGTTGCCATTCCAATTAGCCTCATGATTTTCTTAACAGTTTTTGATGATTGCAATTTTGCCAATGCTATAACTGTCAAATTGTGTATCGGAAGACGTATCATTTTTCAAAAATAGTGTATCGTATCGTATCATGTATCGTAAGATACACAATTTTAAATAATTACTAATAAAATATATATACCTTTGTAAAAAAGTCATAGGCTTAATAATGTAGCATTTCATTAATATTCTACCAACTATTTAAGTTCCTAACATAGTTCAGTAATATTAAAATACAAAGATCTCTAATTCAAACTTCTAACATTAACTGCTTGAATAACCTTAATATAAATTAGAAATTTTAAATTCAATTGAACAACATTATTAACAAACTTTATTATTATTATTTTTAAACCATAACTACTGAAATGACATTATTTCACTAGCGAGTGATTTAAAAATAAATTCTGGGGTGAAACAATGTAATTTCAGCCCTTAAAAAAAATTTATGTATTATACGTATCAGACATATTGTATCATGTATCGTACAATATGGGACAAAAACGATACAAAGATACGTTACGTATCGTTTTTCAGGTGTATCATTACGTATCGTACGATATTAATAACTATGGCCAATGCCTTTACTTGATTTAGATTTACTTCCACTCTTTTGTGACTCACCAGAAAGTCAAAGAACATTTCAGAGCCAATCTCGAGTGCACATTTTGATGCGTTGAGCTTCATTTGGTATTTTCAAAGGACATCAAAAGTCTTTCTTAAATTGGAGAGATGGTTGCCAGACTTTTGACTCTTCACCACTATATCATCAATATAGACTTCTATAGTGTCACCTATCATTTGCGAAAACATTTTCGTCACCGATATTTGATNTTTCTATAGTGTCACCTATCATTTGCGAAAACATTTTCGTCACCGATATTTTATAGGTTGTGCCTGCATTTTTTAGACCAAAAGGCATTATCTTATAACAGTATTTCTCTTCGGGTGTTATGAACGAAGTCTTTTCTTGATCATGCTCGGCAAGTGGAATTTGGTGATAACCTCTATACGCATCTAAAAAACTCATCCGCTCGTGCTCGGCGGTTGCATTAACTAGCTGGTCTATCATTGGCAGGGGGAGTTGTCTTTTGGGCATGCCTTGTTAAGGTTGGTAAAGTCGACACATACCCTCCATTTTCCAGTTTTCTTCTTGATAACTATCATATTGGAGAGCCAGGTCGGGTACTGAACCTCTTTACTGATCTGTGACTCCAGCAATCTTGCCACTTCCTCTTTTATTGCCTCCTGATGCCGTGGTGCCGATCTTCTTTCTTTTTGCTTTATTGGCTTGAAATTTGGGTTGACATTCAATTGGTGACATGCGACTTCTAGGGGAATGCTAGGCATGTCATTTGTGGTTTGCTCGAACACATCGACATACTCTTTCAGGAGCAAGATAAGCCCCTTGCGTTCCTTGGCCTCAAATGATGCACCTAGGAGAAAGTATCTTTCTTTATTCTCGTTTAAAGGTACTTTAAGAATTGAAATTTGATTGCACTATTTTAGGAAAAGTGAATAGGTATCTTTCCACACAATCCGTCTTTTTTATATTAAAACTTAGGTGTCGTTTATTTTATTCTCTATTATATTGGGCTAGAAATCAAAATTGCTACCCTTGTTCCTTAGGGGATATGTTCTAAACCTATTCGCCCTACGGTGACCAGTATCCGAGTTCGAGGGAGTAGTTGACGCAAGTCTTGACAGTTTGTATCAAAAAAATAAAATAAAATAAAAATTGCAATGAACCTATGTATAGTAATGGATTTAAATTACCGAATTTGAACTAGGCACGGCTACACTGCCAATTTTTTTTATTATTGGAAATTTTTGTGTTACACAGTGCCTTCAGACATGAGCAATTACTTGCGATATTTTTGTTTGTTGCATATAGTGTCTTTAGGCATGAACAATTTCTAATATCCATAGTTATCAAATTGTGTATCGGAAGGTGTATAGTTTTTAAAAATAGTGTATTGTATCGTATCGTGTATCGTAAAATACGGCGCAATTTTAAATAATTAATAATAAAATATATATACTTTTGAAAAAAATCATAGACTCATAAAAATATAACATTTCATTAATATTCCACCTACTATTCAAGTCATCAATATAGTTTACTAATATTAAAATGCAAAGTTTCTATCATAGTTCACTAATATTAAAATGTAATGGAATTGATAAATAAAAAAAGGCAAAAAAAAAAAAGGCAAAGGACATACAGACACTAGTGGGATTATGACATAAAAAGAAAATAGAAAAATGCAATGGATTGACCTAATTGTGAAATAAAAAAGGATAAAAAATTAAAAACACAATGGTTCATCCAACTGTACTGTATTTTAAGACATAGTCAGTTTGACTTAAAAGGGGATCATATACCCAATATTTGTTCTGATTCATAGACGAGAGTGCCTGATTAAATAAATAAAAAAAAAAGACGAGAGAGAGATCGCGAGAGCGATGGTGAGACAGAGAGAGAAAGATCGTGAGACAGAGAGAAAGATTGCGAGATAGCGATCGTGAGACGGAGAGAGAGATTGTGAGACTAACAAAGTGTCTCTCTGCTTCAATGGTCTTGGATGATATACTTCGATGGTTTTCCAGTTTTCTAGGGTCTTCTGCAATGGACCTTTGCCAGGAAGAAAAAGAAGTATTTTCTAAAATCTGAAGAAAAAACAACCAAGGGTTTCATCCGAAATTTACAGGTTAGTGTTGCTATTTTTTTCAATTTTAAAAATTTGTTTGTTTTGCTTTTGCTTAGGTGTTTTTGCTGATTTGTGGCTTTGGTGGACCGGTAGTTCTTATCTTCATCTTTGTTGCCTTTTCTTTGGCATTGTCTCTATTCTCTGAGGCTGTCAACGATTTGGTGCGAATCAGTTTGACTCCGATGCAAATCAGTCATCTCAAACAATACTATGTGAATCAACCGTACATTCTAATCGGATGATAGTATGCAAAAATGATACAAAACTCCGATTTATATCGTTTTACCTTTGTATCGTGACGTATCGCGTATTGTACAATACTAATAACTATGCTAGTGCCTCAATAAAGCAAATATACTTTATGGCCAACACAATACCTCCTGGTTATAGACATGCTTTGGCACTAGGTATTCACGTACATATTTTCACTTGCCCAACATGAAGATGAACCAGTTATATATAGGTTCATGCTACTGTTATTGGAGTTTTAGTTGAAGATGACTACAAATGTTACAAACCAATCCATCAACTTCTATATATCGAAAACCAAGGATTAAAGGAGGGATTAAAAAAGGAACTTATCAAAAAACATAGGGAAAAACCTAGCATCAAAAAAATGTTGCATACTCATGCATTTGGTCTGTAAAGACGCAACGTTCCATAAACTTTTTATGCTATATGAAAATTTTCATGCTTATTCGTTCGGTTGTTCTCACATATTTGAATCATCGTGCCCTTAGAAGATATGTGACCAAAATTTTCAAATTTCATGAAATTCCTTGATTGGTGTCCATGGTTAAGTTTTGAATTTTTATTTTGGAGTTGGTAATTGAGACTGCATTAAATTTTGTCTCCTTTAGCAGTGTTGTTAGTTGTTACAAACATGAGTTTAATTGTTACGGCCATAGCATTTGACTTGCAATATCTATTCATAAAACTAAGATATAACAACCAAGGTACGAGTGATTTTGTGTGCACGAGAATGGTGATTGTTGCTAAAGCATCCAATTCAAATTCAATTGGTTATAGGTGGCAAGACCACTCAATCATATGAACTAATGTTGGGTGATCCTAATCTTTGATCTATTATAGAAGCTCTTTTCACACCCTCCATGTAAATTCGGGTTTGCTCTTGGGTTAATAAATCAAACCGAAACAGACAAACAAATATATCGGGAAATTCAAATAGGTGAGAATCTTGGCCCACTAACTACCCAATGCCTACATTGAAAGATTATGGCCAGCCAAGGTTTGTTTATATGGTTAAGGGGCTTCTCCACATGTGTTATCAATTGGTTGAGTTAGATGATTTAACAAGGTATCAAAAGTGGGCATTGGGAGGGTTTGGGCAAGATTCAATTCCTTCATTATGGTAATTGATTCTCCCTTTGTTTGTGTCACTCGTTATGTTTTTGGATTTGTCTTCAAATTCTTGTCTATCTCTCCATGTGGTAGTGAGGGTCACATATGCAGAGAAGTATTAGAGCTTGGTCCACATTGATAGAATAATACGTTCCAAATAAGTATATGACCCTTTTGAACTGCTACACTTATAGCCAATTAGTTTTGGGTTGGATATCTTAATATAGTGTCATAGCAAAGTTTGGGAGTCAGTGGATTAATTATCTCACCCATCTGAAATTTTCATTATATTTGTTTGTTTGTCTGAGCTCGATTTTTGCGTGCCTCGCATGTGAGGAAGTCTGTGAAGAGAGTTTGTATCCCATATCGAAAGATTATGGCCATCCAAAGTGAGTTCATATGGCTGACGACCTCTCAATTTGTTACCAGTTGATTTTGAATTGGGATGCTCTAAATAGTTGTCATTTGTCAAACTGGTGGGAAAGTTTTATTTTTTAAATGTTTCTTCCTTTCTTATACAGAGAGAGAGGCAGAGAGATAGATGGTGGGTGCAAGGAGCACGGTAGATAATTTAACCCTGATTTATCAGATGATTAGCATCCCGACAACATTCTGTTTCACTCAAAGCGCACACACGCATGTGCGCAAATGCACCCACATTCACCCACTCACAATAAAAGCTTAGTTTTTGTCTGTTGTCATTCTGTACATGGTTGGTCACTCTGTGAAATCCTTTTCTAAGTGAGATTAGTTCACTATTGCCCATATGCCCTTATGCTGGACGTAATTTGGTGATACTCTCTTGAGCCTACGTAGGTATAAAGTTGCCACCCATTCAGTTTATATATTGTGTCTTAGAAACCTTGAATAGTGTGAGGGTTATCTTTTTTCTTTCGTATGCATACAAATATAATGTTACTTGAACATCTCTGGTAATGTTTGCAGGAACGGTTGCAAAGGTCTCTGATGGTTTGCCAGGACAAATTTGAGGCAGCCAAGCTCCAACAAATCAGAACTGATTCCATGAAGGATTTGGAGTTGTGCGTTGACCAGTCAATCCAGGACAGCATCACGGCATTGCCACATCTTGCTGCAAGATTGAAGTCTTCTCTCACAATCAATGATTAGAAAAGGATGCCGGGATAAATTTTTTCAGCCGGTTTGTTATTTCTCACTTTTTAATTGAGTTATTAAAAACTGATCACAACATCTGATCGGCAGTGACTAAGGAGGCCTGGAGAATAAAAACAACATGCAAGCATCCACCTGTTTTTGCATACTAACCTTACACACTGTTTTACTTCACCTTGTACTGATGCTATTTATTGAAGTTATATGGTAATTAGGCTACTTGTTCAATTTTACCTATGGTTCTGAAANTACTAACCTTACACACTGTTTTACTTCACCTTGTACTGATGCTATTTATTGAAGTTATATGGTAATGAGGCTACTTGTTCAATTTTACCTATGGTTCTGAAACCCATATCACCCCAAGCTGGAGCTTGCGATGGAGATTGCTTGTAGACATTCCATACAAGATTATGTTCGGAAATTGAAGTCTACAGTCAATTAGATGGGTATAAGTTTATTTTGATGGTGGTTTAAAACTTGTGATATAATCAACAACGATTTGCATATTTGCACATTTTTTCTACAGTTTGAGCATGGCTGATTCAAGTTCAGCTCACTATATAAATAAGATGAGAGGAATGGCTACTTTGTTTTTCTGTTAGCCACATCATCGACCAGAGGTGATTTTATTAATTTCTGATGACAACTAAGTAGTTTGTGGAACCAGTCTTCATACTTCTCTTTGGCCTTTGTAAGCAATCTCCAACCTATAGAGTGTAACCTTGCAGCCAGGTGGATAAGGTTAGACCTCTTCCAATAAGCAGGAAAAGTAAAGTTAAAAAGAAAAAAAAAACCTTAAAACTATACTGTAATTCTCCCCCTACCCCTTCCTCTCCCCAAAATACCACCCAAAGAAAAATGAAAGAAAAAGGAAAGAAAGTATCAAATTGTGGCAACATACTTTAACCAACAGAAGTTTACTGATTTATAGCTCATGTTCAGCAGCTCCTGTTGGATAATCGTATAATGGAGCAGCTGGTTTTTAGCTTTTAACAGTTTTATAAGAGATTAGCACATCATCAGCTCTACAGAGAGGGATTGGCATATGGACTGTAAAAAGGCAACTGCAGCACAAGGCGCAGCATTCTGGGTTCAATTTCAGAAATGGTATTACTAGACGTCTTGAAGGAGATTACCAAACAGTCATTGATGCTGCAATTCTGCTACATAAAATCCATTTGGTGTTCTGCAACATCAAACAGTCTGCAGAGTCGCAGGAAACTTGCACTATGATGGGAGTATTATGCCCCCTACAAGCAGCAGCTCATGAACTCACCAAATGATGCATTGCTATAAAATTTACAGGCTTTATTCCGTATTGCAGCACTAGTAGATATTCACCATATAGTCTATTAGTAGTAAGTTTTACCTTTGTAGTTACACTACTTCTGTTATCCTTATTCTCAATTTCCAATGGCCAAAAATAGGAAAAACAATGAAAGGTATGTTCAGAAAGCTACAATTTCCAAAAATCTTGTGAGACTGAGAAGTGGAAATCGAACACAAGCAGCACACTCATGCCTAATTATGTGGCCTCATTCTTGTTTTTATGCTCTTCAAACTTATCGATGGCTCTCTGAATTCATATGTACCTCCAACAGCTTTCATGGTATAGAAGTATACCCCCAAAACAAACAGTGTCAAGCCTCCAGCAACAACCAGGTTCTTCATCTTGGGTGCAAGACTGCCAAATCCTAAAAGCCTAGCCATCTCTTAAGCTAGTGCCTACTTTTGTTATGCCTTAAAAACTGCAATTAGATTAGAAATAACTGAATTGTAAACTTGTGATACTTAGATATCGCATGCTACAGAAAAATAAAAAATGGCGTCGAGCATAATTTTTTGGAGATAATTGATATAACAGGATAGACTTTAGAAAGCATCGAATCAAAACTGCTATAGGGCTGCTGCCAATGTATCACCAGCAACAGTAGTAAGAGCAAAAGTAACGGCAACAGTAACAGATGACACTAAGTTATCAGTACGATCTCTTGCTTGCAGAAAGTATACTAGACAATACTTAACGAGTATTTACCGATCATGCATCATTTGCACCCATGGCTACGATGCATATTTCAATGAATTCACTCATCCAAAAACATGCACACTGGGTAATCGGATAACCTCCTTAAGGTGTTAACTAAGGTTAAAAACTACAATTTAGTCATTTTTTTATGAACACACACAAAGGGATACATAGATATATTATGAAATGATACCTAGTTCGGCTGGGAAACTACAAACAATGTTGCTTTGGTACATTGGCAATACGTACTTCAACCATTTTCTTCTATTTGCCACTAAGGAAACTTGCACCATGAGACAATGGATGCTTTTCATTCCTCTTTCATCCTCTCCTTGTTCTATGGTTACCTGGAACTAGTACCAAGTAAAGTCAATTTCAAGTTAAACTTTAAGAAAAAGACGTTTCACTTTTGATGGAAAATGAAGATAGATTCTCTCCTTGGCAAAGGGAACCCCCTTTCCCCTTTCTCTAATAATAAGAAAGTAGCAGGTTGCAGTCTTGAAGTCTGTCTTCTTCAATGGATAAGATTCAAAGGGTTTGATAAAATTTAATGGGTAATAGTCTAACCTTGCTTCTAGGCTTACGGAAAAA